AGATTTTATGAAGCGTACACCCGAGTGCAAGGGAGGCAGCCCAGAGGGCAGGAGGGTCCTCTGAACGGGCTCAGGGGTTGGCTCTGCCTGGCTGCTCTCGTAAGTTGGGGGTGTAGTGGGCTTCTACAAAAAGACAGGCTTAAAAAAAAAAAAAAGAAGGTAGGCGTGCAGAATTTTCCATTTCAGGGTCCAGCAACTCCCTTGCCAGCTGTGTTGCCTGGTAACCGCGTTCTCACCTGTGCTGCAGGAGCAGGAGGACGACTGCTCATTACCACCACCCTGGGGAGGTCACACGGCAGTCAGCTGAGCATGTGGGCCAAGTTCAAGTGGACACATGGAAGGCAGAGAAATTCAGCTACCTCTGCGTTTTTGAGCAGGGCGTGGAGGGGTAGTGACACTTTTGCTGTCACTTGTACCATGTTCGCTCTGACCACACGGTCCTCACTTGGCTTCCTGGCCACAGGATATTCTCTGTTCTTGGCCCCAAGTCCCTGCACTGTCTGAAAACCACTTTCCTACTCTGTACCAGCTCTCTGATTTCTGCCAGATTAGCGAAGGTCTCTAAGCTTTGATTTCCTTGTTTGAAAGGTCATTTCATATGGGTTTTGTTGAAATCCATGTTTGTAAAACCATGAACACCATTTAGCAGGTTGTGTTATTATTTTTGATGCCCCCACCTTAAGGCTTTTGCCTTCTCTCTCACGCTTGGACTGCGGAAGTTCAGTTCAGATTGGCCATTGTGACTCCACATTCTCCCAACTTCAGGCCATGCCCTTAGATCTCAGAGGGAGACTCCTCCTAAAACCGGCCTCCCACTCTTACCCGAAGGCCTGGCTTTAAGGACTCCGGAGTGGCCTCTGTATGAATATTCACATTCCCGCTCTTTCCCGGCTGTTGCTAACCAGAACATTGCTATTATAATGTTTCGTTATATCATTAAATTGTTATGTTGTTAAAGCTTCTTAAAATAGCTACCTGGCCCTAAGGGCTCACTGTTGTTAATGTTGAGCCGCACCTACCATTATGACCAGATCCTCGTAGTGCGGTATCTTGCAAGCAATTCCCTGGTCATTTGGTGACCTCGGGCGTTGCAGAAGTTCACAGTGTAGTAAAAACAATTACATCAGCACATGAGGCAGACACTGAATTACAATACTTTTGACTCAGAAGTCTAGGCTAACGAGTACACAGTGGCCAGTCCTGGACCTCACATCCCAGGGCTGCGCCCCTCAGAGGCTACGCAAGTCTTGCTCCCCGGCGGCTGACCCACTGTGCTTTCATGAATCCAAATTTCAGTCAGAACTGATGAAAACAACAAAATTAATGTCTTTGTTTCACTCTTAGTGCATTGACTAAATGGACCAATTGGAATGATGCAATGTAGATTTCCCACTTGAAGTTGGGAAAGGCATTTTTCTTAGCACTTTATTTATGCTAAAAAATAAAACTACTGAAAGAGACTTTCAAGCTATAGGACAGTTTTCGAGAGCCTTAAATTCCTTCCCACTGAATGCTAGTCTCCCATCCGCCCAACAGTCGGTGACTGAGCCCCGCCTCCATTACCGCACACTCAGCAGACGGAATTTTCATTTTACAAAGAAGGGAGAAAGATGAATAATCCCAAGCAAATTTTAGGTGAGTTAAACCAATGGGGGAGGCTTGCTGTCCACAGCATAAGTAATAATTTAGCATCTGGAAAATATCGAAAGGAAGTCCGCTGGCCTCCACGCTGGCCGCGAAGCGCATTCAGCACCACGGCTCCCGAGTGCATTAGATTTTATTAAAAGCATTCTGCTGCAGCATCCACTCTTCCTAATTGGTTTATGGAGAGCCTCCACCATTCGGGCGAGTCCTAATTGCATTTCCCCACAAATCTAGTTTGATTTATGGCTCCCTATTTGCTCTGTATTATTTATAATAATAAATTGGAGTAAAATCCTTAAAATATCGAACAAAATTTACAGCCATTGTTCTACAAACATGGTACTCATATAAGGGTTCTTAACAGTTTCTTTTTATTGTTTTTAAAGTTCAGTCAAGTTACACCCCTCTGTATGATTTACAGTAATGAAGTCTTCACTCTGTTTCCTGAGGTCAGTTATATTTCCCTGGAGTTTTTACTATGGATTGTTAGAATTACTTGGAATGGATGGTATATAGAGTATTTAAAAAATAGCATGTCCTCCTAGAAGGTTCAAGTGGATACATTTCTCTTTGGAACAGAAGAAAATACTACCTGAAGATACAGTGACCGAGCACCTGCGTAAAGGCAGGTGACGGCCCTGCTGCACTGGCAGGTGTCCCCCGTTCAGCTTGAGTCATCTGTGACAACTCAGGAAAACCCTGTCGGTCTCTTAAAGAGAAGTGTGCTCGTTACTAGAAGTTTGAGTTCAGGAGACTGGAATATAGGATAAGAGACAGAAGGAGAAGTAAACTGATTTTAAGATCATTTTACAAAGAAGGGAGAAAGATGAATAATCCCAAGCAAATTTTAGGTCAGTTAAACCAATGGGGGAGGCTTGCTGTCCACAGCATAAGTAATAATTTAGCATCTAGAAAATATCAAAAGGATGGCCAGCAGGTGAGGAGCAGACCAGCAACCTAATACTTAATAGTTGCAGCTGAATTTTTCAGTGAGGAACTGGGCCTTTCATCTCTGCTGGAGCACGCAAGGGGCCCCCACAGTGTCAGCGGAGCTCTGCCCCGTGAGCGGTGAGGACTGTCTCTGCCCTTCCCCGCTGGGGTGCGGTCCCAGGGGGCCTCACAGAGGGTCAGGAACTTGACTGCACCCCGCAGCAATGCGCCCGCCCCTGCGTCTGGGGAGCAGGGACCGGGCATTCCTGCACTTGAGAGCTGTTCCTGCAGCCCCACCTCCACCCAGTATTAATGAGGAGCTCCCTCCACGGGGCTCAGCTGGGGCCAGGCTGGGGACCAGGACCTCTACACCCACTGGCAATAATGAGGCGGCGCCCTCCCCGAATCTCCGCCAGAGAGATGTCATATTAAAGCAGCTGAAACAGAAGGTTTAAGGTCCAGAGTCACCAAATACACCAACGCCCACGTTTCAACAGAAAATCAATCAGAAAACGTCACACCAAGAATCAGGAAGATCACAAAGCAAATGACAAAAGACTGTCGTAGATGCCACTCCCTCCCAGCCCCTGGCCACCACCATTCTTCTCTCCCTGTCTGTGAGTCACTGCTTCCGGTTTCCACAGTGAGTGAGGTCATGCCGTCTGTCTTTTTGTCTGACTTACTTCACCTCTAGGTCCACTCATGCTTTGCAGACGGATTTCCTTCTTTTTCCTGACCATTTTCTGTGGTACACATACCACACTTTCTTCATCCAGGAAAGGTTCATTAAAAAAACGTAAAAATGTCATATCTTCTGACCAGTAATCAGTACTACACAGTAACAGTGCATGCATGCACACATGAGTACACACACATGCACAAGCACACACATGCACAAGCACACACGTAGGAAGCTGTAGTTGCACTACAACTTCCTACACATCCGTGTGTGTGTGTTGACTTAACTAGGCTGTCCTTCCTCTAGGTTATGTTCTGCCTGGGGGCATTACAATGAAATGGGGATGTGATAGAAGATGGTGGTTGTTTTTTAAACATAACTTCTTGGCAAAATAAAAGCCGTCAGTTCTTTATCAACTTCCACAAAATGTGATTCAAGATTTACTTCCTGGTCCATGAATTGCAAAAGCCCAGGAATCAAGCTGCCCAGTTCTCCTTATGCTCCCAGAGTTGAGAATGTTCTGCTCTGTCCACAGCGCCCAGCCCACAGGTCTGCACAAAGCAGGCGCTGTGTGCACAGGGTTATTTAATAAGTGAATTTAGCCAAAAATGGAGGCCGTGGTGAAGAAAATTCACAGTTTAGTCAATGCCTTTGCTAGCTGCCTTCTACAACCCCTCTCTGCACTAATCACCTTAATGAGATATTTCTTAATTTCCCGCGGAGGTCCCAGTATTTGCCTTTATATGTACATTAGACAAAATGTATTTGTCATTATCTGATATACTTATTATATTACAATACTCTCTTTGTTAAAACTAAAGTTTTTAATGGAAATGTGAAAATTAACATAACTTAAAATAATAAGATACGACATAAATTATTGGCAATCTTGTCCATATCAAGAAGTAATGATATCATCATGTTTTTATTAAACTAATGAGTGATTAGTATTTACCTTTTTTTAAACATGGAAAGATTCCCGTCAGGAACAATACAGTGAACTACAATTTTCTGAATAGTTCACTAATCACTTGGAATTTTTTAACCTAATGAGTTGTTAATTCACGTAAATGTTACACGTTTAAAAGATGGACTCATTGTGAATGACTCTATAAAATATTTCTTCTTCAACAGAAATCTCAACTTGGGGGATGAAAGATTCTCATGTAATCTATTCTAATGTTACTTTCTCCTAAGTTCCTATTAGCATGCGTGTTATACACATAGTAGAACTGTCATTTTTGTTTTTAAACTTTGTTTTTTATCATCAGTAAATTACATCACATTTTTGCAGTTTTGTTATTAATATCTTAACATGGGAAAATAGCCTACCATTTTATGTATGGAGAAAGATTTAAAGGAGGTATTTTAAATTGACTGCTTCAGTATTCCACCAAGTAAATCAGACTTGAGACTAGAATTTGCAATTATCAGGAAACTGGAAGTTTTAACGTTCTGAACTTAGATGCCTTTATTAAAAAAATTTTAAACTAATTATCAGCCTCTTCTTCCTTATAAAGTGATATTCTAAAGTCACATTTTCTACTACAGTAGCTTGAAATAAAGTACACACTTACCAATGATTATAAAATAACTCTATATTAGTGAGATTTTTGTTGTCCATTATTAGTGACTTGGCCTATATCATTTAGATATTTTATGCAAGCTGATACTTAAAAAAACCACCTTCCACTGTGTGATTTTCAGTGTGGTTTAAAATCGGATTCCTGTTTTGTTTTCTTTGAAGGTGAGAGGCCCCCCCTCTGCAGGAGCGTTTAAAGAGAGACCGACCAAGCCCACAGCATTCCGAAAATTTTATGAGCGTGGAGACTTCCCCATTGCCCTTGAGCATGATTCCAAAGGAAACAAAATAGCGTGGAAGGTAAGTCGGGGCACAGCTGGGAGAGCCAGCTGCCCCTGCTTGCCAGGGGACGTCTCCCAGTGCCAGACCAACGTGGCTGACGAGTAAATAAACTGGAGTGATTTCTTAGCACATGGAAGGCGATGGGTAAGCACTCAGAGAAAGAGCCCCCACCCCCGTGTCAGCTGTCCACCCTGGCTAACAATTAAATTATAGCCTGCAAGAAAGGAAATGACAGAGTCGCCCTGCCTTAGAGAATTGCCTGGTGCCCAATTCATCTCTGTGTTTGTGAGAACTTGGCAGCCTGTCCCTGTTTCAGGCGGTTCCACCAAATGATGAAACTGGTGGCCGGATCTGGAGAACCACCACCATTCATCTCCCCCTCCCCACCCCGGGTTTCACCTTCCTGCAGGACGCTTCCCAGTGGAGGCTTTAATTACCTAAATGGATAGGTCAAGATCAGCTGCTCCCTGGAAATGCAGAGTGGAATCAAAAGAAGTCAGATGCTGGGCGCAGCTCCCTGGTCTGCAGCACGTGTCAGCCACGCAGCCGCTGACACGCGCGCCCTGGTGCAGGCTGACCTCCGCTGCTGAAACCATTACAGCTCCCACACTTTTTGGACAGAAGGTTAATTGGCCTCAAAACCAACGTGTTGCCTCACGGCTCCATTCTAATGTGGCCGTGTTTCTTTCTAAAAGGCTTGCTGATGTTATTTGTAAAAACTTGCCAGTCTCTTAACTGGAGAAGGCTGTTACATTTAATTTGAAAAATGAATGCTGATCTCTAACCAGTGTCTCCAATTTAATTGATTCTTGTTATCCACGGCCTGGCTGTGGGTGATATTTATCAGCAAAAATGCCTTCTTGGCCTAGAAACAGCAAGGCCGAGCACACGTGTGAGAATCACCTCTGGTTAAGGAATGTAAAGGTTTTTGCCAAATATCATTTAAATTAAGCCATTGACCCATTTAACTGAAAAGTGCCACAGTAGTATCTGAAGGTGAACGTGGGAATTATCTGTAACTAGTAACAAAAACATTTATGTTAAAAGATAAAATGATCAAATTGAAGAATTCATCAAAGTAGCATAGAAAGATTCATTAAAATTAACCTCTTCCTTCCTTTATGGGAAAAAAAACTAAAAGAATTGTTTGCATTATTTCTAGTGTGTCTTAAATGTTTTCATATAATTATCATTTCTGAATCTTGAGCAGACAACTGATGTTCAGTTATTGAACTTAGAATAATTACAAGTTATTTAGCAAGAGAAATCTGGAGGGGTCCTTGTTATTGAAATTTGTCATAATTTTTTAGGATGATGAAGGTCATCATCATGCTTTTAATCGTCACTTTTAAAATGTGAAATCTGTTATGTGAAAATATGCATATGAGAAAAAATGATAGGAATTGTAATTAATGTAGATATTTTCATCTTAGTATAAGTACATATTCCCAACATGCTACCATGATTTGGGGGGTCATTTATATTTAATTAGTTATGTGGATTTCATGCTTGTCTATTTACTGTTTCATACAAGATAATACAGTGGAGCTTCTTAAAACCCGATTCCTGCTGAGTAAAAGAATATGCCATGTTTCTTTATAGAAAGTGGGTGGATTTGGTCTAAGTAATTATAGCACATAAAAATCATGTGAATAAAAAGGATGTATACATTTTTGACCTGTTCAAATAATCTTATCAGTAACTTTTAGAAATGTCAAGAGACTAGAAGAAATTCATCTTGAAAATAATCTTTGAAAATTGTCTTTGGTAATCCAACAGTCAGAAGGGATATAAATTGCTTTTCTTTTTTTTTATAGCTGTATTAATTCTTTTAAGCCCCTATTGCCTACACTGCTGACTCAGCGATCTAAAATGGCAGGATACAGTGGAGGCAACTTGTTTGCTGCCACTGGTAGAATAATAGCATTTGAAGAAACATCGTATCCTGTAACCAGTAGATTCTCTCTTTTAAAGCTTTTCTAAACCCATCTCAATTGTACTATTTTACCACGGAAAAGGAAGCATTGAAATAATTAAGCATAGGCTTAGCATTCCCATTTACTCCCTGGCACAGTCACTGCGGGGACAGTCTGGTCCTTGGCAGCAGCGCAGGACTCCACGGTGGGTGCCATTCCTAAGGAAGGGGCCTGGCATATTGAAGGAAGCAAGCAGGCCCGCCTCCCCCGACCCCCTGGCCACCGGCACACGCACGAAGACAAGCCCACGCACAAACCGACGCAGGCCCCAGCGCTGTACTTCCCCATGTGTGGACGGGGGGTGGTGCCTGGTTGGGCAGGCGCCTCACCTTCATGTCATGCCGCACTCCTCACCGAAGGCTCCTGAGTAGCTGCGCTTCCCCAAGAAAACACTGGTCCCCTTCCCACACTCCTGGTGATGGCCCGGGACAGGCAGGGAGTTTGTGCGTGTCTGAAACAGTGCGCACAGACAAGGGGTGAGGAGGCCATTTCCTTGTCTAGAATTGTAGGGGCCTGGGACCCGAAAGTACTCAGGAGTCACTGCTCCGAGTTGTGATGAGGGTGGACCAGATCTGCAGCATCTCAGCCTCCTTCCTAAAAGGGGAAGCAAGTGCTGATGGGGGATCACTGCGCAAGATGTCAAAGTCTCTCCTCCTTATTCCCGGTTGGCTGGCTGACTGTCAAATTGGAGATCACCAGAGCCTTGAAATGAGGCTCTGAGGCTGTGTTTCATAAACAGACAGCAAACAAATTCGCAAATAGAAGCGAGACTAACATATTGTTTAGATTGTTTAATCTCTAAGCCAGATTTAGAGATGGGTCCGTGTTGTTGTTGCGTGTTGAGGTCTCTCTGCCCAGGCCCTGAACTGACATCACAGTTTCTTGCCCGTGGGCACAGCCATTCGTTCCCCCTGCGGGATGACAGGGCAGACGCGGTGCTGCGGTCTGTGCAGTGTCACTTATTATCGAGGTGTCTCTGAAGATCAGAGCAGCGAGGAACGCAGCTTCCTCTGTGGTGGGAAGGCCCCGCATCTGCACTCGTGTAGCACAACTAACCAGATGTGGCCATTGAGCACTTGAAATGTGCCCGGGGAGGCTGAGGAGCTGAACTTTCAATTTTAATTAATTCTAATTTAAATGGCCACATGGTTACCCTATTAGACAGTGCTTCTCTAGATAAAGATAATGGCAATAAAAAAAAAAAAAAAAAACCCCTGAACCTGCTATCCAGACAGAATGTTACAGCTACGTGGGAATTACTGTTAAAAGGAACAAATAGGACTGATACGTACATTTTTGCCCTGGCTGTCGTATCTTCTCATATATTTCTTGGTCAATATGGAAAAGTTTTGCAAAATATTTGTAGTAAAATTTTCTAGGTACTTACCAGTGGCGAGACGAATAGATCTGACCTAGCACATGAAATCAACTAGGCAAGCTGTGGCATGCTTTTTTATTTTTCAATATTCGTTTTCTAATATGGCAAAGAATTCCTAAATAGCGATGGTTAGAGCCATCAAAACCGTCATCATTACTCGAACAGTTTGAACCTGCCCCCTTTCATGTGTTTCGTCGACTCCGCTAACATTCGGGAAACGTGACTTTGTTCCGCTGGTGGTGACAGCTTCCGAATGCAGAGCAGAGGCGACAGCCAATGCAGATGAGCTAACCATTCCAAAATCTTACAAAGCAGGTAACTGGCTGGAACAACGGACATTGGAAGACTGTGTGTGAGTTACCACATCTTTAATGTCCATTTTCCAACGTCCTGTGCTGGAATGGGACTAATACCACTGACAGGACAGTGCCAGGGTGGAGGCAGGTCTTCCCGTGGGCACACTGGAGGGCGAGGAATGTTACACAAAACTGCAAAATACTCAGTGTGTTGCCCCCACCTCTGCTGCTGGGAGGGGTCCTGAGAGGAGGCGTATGTGTACCAGGTGGTCCTTTGTTGGTGAGTCTCCAGTTGTACTAAAACCAAACATGAAAGTGCGAGTCACAGGGGAATGTGGAATTATGTGGGAGTTTACACTGCTTTTCTGTGAACCGTCCTCCCCCACCTCCAGACATGCCCCATGGCGCCCTTCCCCCAAGTTCGTTTGAAATAGCCGTCGGGTCTTAGCTTCTTCCTCCCCCGCCTGCCCCTTCCTCCCCTCCTCCTCCTCCACCCACTGGCCCTTCTTCCTGCTTTTCCATCATCTTCCTCCCCTGTCCTTGCCTCCTCTCTCCTCTCCTTTTTCCCTTTTTGTGACTTCTGGGAATTCGCATTTTCCCCCATAGTTTTTCCGGCATTGATTCTGAAGAAGGAGCCATGAGCCCATTCTAATTCTCAATTTGGGGCAGGAATTTGAAGTCATTTGGCGGAGGTACCCAAATGACCTTGAAACAATAGTTGTTACTTACACAATTAATGAGGAACACAAGCACAAACCCTAAGCAACACTGTGAAACTCACCACTTTAATATAAATTCCAATTCTGAGCCATTGTTTGAAAATAGTACTGGGATACACGTTATTTTAAAATAACCACTTCTATACAGACCTTGGGAGAAAGAGTTGGGGAAAATCACCATCGTCATCTTCGTTTTAAAAATAAACCATACACTTATTTTGGTGACAACAACAGCTGCAACTACACTAAAAGATCTCAATTGTCTCACTTTATAGGTGTTATGATGTAGTAGATCTTGCCAGAAATCACTGTTCCCCATCCACCTGTATACCGTGCTACCGGGTGGAATGTGAAGGGCTCAATGAGACTGCTCACACGCTCTCCAGTGAATGTACATGAGCGTGCCCCAGGTGTTAGAGAGGTTTGGATAAAAAGTAAAGGCCCTATTCTTCTAGCTAAATGAGGATGTAATACAAACCCTGTCACAAGCGCCACCGAAACTGTACATCTTCACATTGTCTCAGAAAGGAAAGAGCTCAGGATGGGCTTGTACTTCTCCAATCTTCCTCTCAGCGGCATATAATCCCCGGTCTGTCTATGTGGCAGTGGGTATTGAGCATTCTTGGTTTTTTATCCTTTATTTGACATG